AGAGAGAGAGAGAGAGAGAGAGAGAGAGAGAGAGAGAGAGCCTAGATACATTCCAGTTTAGGCTAGAACTCCTCCCTTTTGTCCACCTCACGGGAGTGCTAGTGACACTGCAGGAGCTAGATCTGGTTTCAAAACCTGCCCTCATGTGACGCTTCAGTGGTGCTTAATAACTGGCACTCCTGTTTGCTATTCTGCTTAGGACATGAACATATCTCCAAGCTATGCTCCATATGTGTCATCTTCTTGAAGCAAATTCAGAAAGCTAAAGAAGCCTGCCTGAAGTTGTTTCCCTTGAGAGCTTTGAACACCAGGAGGAAAGGCAGAGCTAAACCCATGTTCCTCTGGTTCGTCCCTTTCCATTAGTGTTGAGGGAGCTGAGTTTCTGCCTTCCCATTTGCCACCATTCTGGTGTTGACTTCCTCTGACAGGGCAGAAAGCACAGGTCACCTTTTCTAGTGCCTAGAGAGTAAAGACATGGATATCAGACTTCTGACTTGCCTTGGCCTCAGCCCCATAAGGGCCAAAAGCTCTGTGCCAGCACCATGTATGAAAAGAGCACCATGTGTACCCACTAAATCTGTGGACTGTATTTCTCTCAATGCCAACCCTTTGGCATGAACTTGGCACCTGCCATCTCCATACCAGTCAAATCAGAAATGTGTTCCTGAGTACTAGCACTTCAGAACTTGCTATCTGGGTACCCAGAGCATATATGGTACTGCATGGTTTAATTGTGGGCCTAGTACTGGACTCGTCTCTGAGTGAGGCTGACAGTGGCAATATCTAAGACACCAGAACCAGTCTCTTTCCCTCAAAAACAAGGTACTCTGGATAGAACCGCCTCCCTTGGAAGCTGTGTGCTTCTTTTCCCCATTCCTATCTAGACAGAGCAGGGAGTCCTCTCCCACTCACCTGCCTGATTGGCTGAACAGAGCCAGCAAGGCCTGTTTATAAGCTCAGCAGCAGCAACAAACTCAACACGTATATCCTCAGTTGTGATTACTGCTGTGCCAGCCTTGTTCCCTGCCACACTCAAATCCATTCCAGCCCTGCTTCCCTGCTTGCTCCTGACTCCAGCTGTGACTCTTGGCTTGATTTCTGGTTACTGACTCCGGCTTTCATCCTTTACTCTGGTTCCTGACTCCTGCTCCAGCTTCTAGGCTTGACTGTCCACACCCTGGTCACAACAGTCTGAGTAGCCTGAAAGTCCCTGGCTTAGCTACTAGGATGGACCCCTCTAAAGCCAACATCTTATTCGTGGAGCTAGTGAATGCTTTGCAGAATCTACAGACCCAGATCAGTGCCCTGCAGTGAATGCCACCCAGCAAGCACAAGCTGTGCCACCTGTGACCCAGACCTACTGAGAGCCAAAAATAACGTTGTCCAGCAAGTTCAGTGGTGACTGGGGGAAGCTCTGTGGGTTTCTAAATCAGTGCCATCTTTGCCTTCTACGGTACCTGCAGACATGTACTACTGACAAGACCAAGGTGAGGCTTATCAGCTTGCTGACTGAGGAGGTGTTGGCCTGGATGTTGGTGATTTTTGGCAACCCGAACCACACAAACACGGCAGTGGTTGCACTCCAGACACTAAGGCAAGGATGCTGGTGGGCAGATAATTATGTTGCTGACTTCTGGTGCAGACACAGAATGGAAATTTTTGGCATGGTCTCAATGACGACATTAAGGCTAAGCTGGCTTGAATAGAGTCTCCAGCTGGCCTGAACACTTTTATCAATCTATATATTAAAATTAACAACTGTCTATCTGAGTGCTGCCAAGAAAGGAGGGTGACGCTTTGAGCCATGCTGGTTTTGATGGCATGAACCAGTCAATATCCTGCATCCATGCTTCAGCCTGAACCCATGTAGGTCGACATGGACTAGACCCGCCTCTCTGAAGGGGAAAAGTCTCTGCTGAGTGGGGGAGGGGTGTGTCTGTCTGTATTCCGGACAATCTTGGCATTTCGATTGTTCTGCCCAGACCTGTACCTTGATTGGGAAATGCCCCAGTCCCAGTGAGGGGTCTGGGCTGGGTTGGTTCTTCTCCTCTTCATTTTAGCATCCAATGGGGCTCTTTTGGTCAAAAGACTGATGACAACTAGCACCACTGTGCCAAAGTGGGAACAAGGCAAATCCAATATAAAGTCCAGAGACACAGTGGACCGGGCCTGGGACTGTGGGCTATTGCTGGAGGAGACCAAGTGGCCTCACATGTGGGTTCTTAGTTCAGGAGTATTATTTTCTCATCTCAAAGAATGGCATCCCATTTTGGACCTTCGATGTCTCAACAAATTCATCCACAGTTTCAAGTTCAGGATGGTGAGGCTCTAATGAGGGAATTGTGGACGTTGGTCAAGACTGGTTCATGGCTGTCAACCCATCAGATTCCCATTTCTACATATCCATTCAGCCAGACCACAGGACATACCTCAGAATCAGGAGCATCTCACTGTCAGTAGAGCCTTGCGCAGATACAAAATTTGTATCCGCATCCAATCCACAATCCATAAACACGGTCCAAGGATTTTCAACAAATGCTTGGTAGTCATGCAAACTCATCTTAGGAGACCATGAATTCAGGTCTGCCCCTACCTTGACAACTGGCTGATCTGAAAATCATCACCCCAACAAGTGATCCAACTCAATTCAAATAACCTTAAAGATCCTTGCCACTCTGGGTCTCAAATTCAACAGAGAGAGATCCACGCTTACTCCAACTCAAAACATAGACTTTAGAGGGGATGGTGTCAAATTCCAGGCAAGTATCAGAAGGGTAGCCGTGTTAGTCTGAATCTGTAAAAAGTACTTTTTACAAATTCCAGGCAGTGGTGGATTAACACACAAGGCCATGGGGCCGAAGCCCAGTGACCCTGGCCAATTTGGGGGGCCCTGGCCAATTTAGGGGCCTCTGAAAAAATGGGTGCCCCAAGCCCTTGTAAAAGCTGCAGGGCTGAAGGAGTGCCAGAAGCACTCTAGAAGTGTGGGGCCATCGGCACTCAAACCATGGCCCTGCCTGCTGCTCTGCTCCTTCCCCAGGAGACCCTGCCCCATACTGCCTCTTCCCCCGAGGCCCCATCTCCGCTTGTTCCTCTCTGCCTCTTCCCCCTCCGTCGCTAATCCTTAAGGCAGGCTAAAAGTGGGAGGGCATAGCCCCTCAAGAAGCTCCCCTCCAAATAAATGTAATTGAGTTCAGAGCCATAATTATACCTACTACTCCCTGGGTCCACAATCCAAGTACTGATATTATGTCAAGAGTCAAGGAGGAGCCAGGTCATCTCTACTCTGTCAGGGAGCCATTTGGTTCTGGACTTGTGCATTCAGAATCAAATCACAATAGTGGCTAAGCACCTTCAGAACACGTTGGCAGATCAGCTTAGCAGACAGTTCTCAGACAATTGCAAATGGTCTATCAAAGATTCAATCCTGCAGAGTCTTTCCAGAATTTCTGGATTTCTAGAAATAGACCTGTTTGCCACAAACCATAACAAGAAGTGTCAGATACTATGTTTCAAAGGGAATCCCAGCCCAGACTCCTTGATGGATGCCATTCTCACTCAATGGCACTTGGACTGATGTACACCTTTCTGCCAGTCCTCCTGATAGTGAAGGTTCTGATGAAACTGAGGCAAGATACAGAACTGATAGCCAAAGCATCAGTGAGTTCTGGTATTTGGATCTGTGAACCTCTCAACATAGCCCCCCAATCACCTTACCTGACCTACCCAACATAGTCTAGCAACACAGCGGTCAGATCCTGTACCTAGAGCCAGCTTTGTTATATCTGACAGCCTGGATGCTAGCTGAATGACGTCCACTGAAAGAAGCTGTTTAGCTGAAATTCTAAATGTTCTGATCCAAAGCAGGAAAGACTCAACTAGACTGACTTAAAAAGGAAGTGGAAGAGGCTTTCTATATAAGCATCTCAGCTGCAGGCTGAGTTGTCTCCTTCAACAAGACCCGTTTCAGCAATATTGGAGTATTTACTAGCCCTGAAACAATCTGCTCTGTAAGAGTGCATCTAGAAGCAATATCTGCACATCACTCACCTAAGCAGGGCCATGCTATAGAGTGGCTAGATTTCTTAATGGCTTTACTCATGTCTTTACTCCAGTTAGGGAGCCCCCTTCCCTCTTGGGACTTCAGTATAGTACGAACATGATTGATGAATCCCTTTGATCCCTTAGCAACCTGTTCCATGTATCACCTACCAGTGAAGACTGCCTTTTTAGTAGCCATTGCATCAGCTTGAAGGGTAGTAAAAATTCAGTCCCTCATGACTGGGTCCCCCTTATACAGTGTTTCATAAGGACAGGGTTACTGTCAGGCTTCATCTCAAATTCCTGCCCAAAGTAATTTCAGAGTTCCGTGTGAACCTGTTTATTAATCTCCCAGTTTTCTTCCCCAAGCCTCACTCATCCTTGGGAGAAGCTAAATTTCATACACTTGATGTACTAAGGGCATACGGGTCAGACTATATCCTCTCAGAGATTATACATTTGGAGATCTACTTAGATAAGGACATGTTACAAATTAGCCAGATTAGATCCACTTAACCACATTAGAGCCTATTCCACTAGAGTTCAGGCAGCATCTGCTGCATATTTGTAGAAAGTTCTTATTTCCAAAATCTGTAGAGCAGTTACTTGGAGCTCTATCCACACCTTGACAAGACACTATTTTTTGACAGAATCTTCTAATTTGATGCCTGCTTTGATAGGACTGTCCTACTATCATTGTTTAAATAGGGGTCCTCCCAAGTACCCACCTCCAAGCAAATATGCTTGTTAGCCTCCAAGAGTGGAATCCATGTGGACAATCACTCAAAGAGAGTAGTTCCTTACCTTACAGTAACTGTGGTTCTTCAAGATGTAGTGTCCACATGGACTCTCCAACCTGCCCATCTTCCATGCAACCGTGGAGTTCTTCTGCTCTTGGCTTCTGTACTGGTGAAGGAACTGAAGAACAGTTAGGCCAGCTCTGCCAATATGCCCTCAGGTGGGTGGGCATGAGGACATCTAAGTCATTATTATGGCTCCAATAGACACTTATGGCCAAAAGTAACTCATGTTGAATGCATGGAGCACATGCACACCAAGAGTGGAATCCATGTAGACAATGCATCTTGAAGAAGCATAGTTACTGTAAGGTAAGTAACTGCTCTTTTCTTGTGTCAGCTGCTTCTTTACAGATGTCATCTTGGGGGGATGGGAGAGATACCTTTTTAATTACACAATGTATATAATGCATATTATTTTCCCAAGTCTCCTCAAGCAGTCTAAAGTCTGGTATAAAATATCTGGTATATTACATTGCTAGCAAATTGAATAGACTTAGCATATCATAAAAGTAACACCATAGAGCAGTGGTTCTCAAACTTTTGAACTGGTGTCCCCTTCCACATAGCAAGCCTCTGAGTGCGACCGCCCCCCCTTATAAATTAAAAAAACATTTTTATATATTTAACACCATTATAAATGCTGGAGGTGAAGCGGGGTTTGGGGTGGAAGCTGACAGTTCGCGACCCCCCATGTAATAACCTCACGACCCCCTGAGGGGTCCCGACCCCCAGTTTGAGAACCCCTGCCATAGAGGAATGGTAAACCCAGTCTTTGTAAAGCTCACAAATAGGGGTTGCATGAAGTCTGCAAGGTTTAGTTCCGTAGGGTTGGCAGCAGGCTATCCCTGCAGTTTTCTTGAGAATTCAGATTTTTCCAACCTAAAATGAAAAAACCCCACAAAACCCCAGACCCTTATGTCTCTTCCTTCCCCCCCAATTCACCTTCCTCTCCCCGCTCTGCCCCCCACACTTTTATAGTTTTATTGTAGAGGCCTGGTGGCCTGTTTCTCTTTTGGCTCCTTTCTTGAAGACGAGTCACCCTCTTGATCTTTGAGTGGGAGGAGATATTTTCCCAACACTGATCACTGTCTTCCATAGTCCAAAAGAATTTTCTAGTGAGACAGAATGCAGTCCACCCTGTCCTATGTTAATTAGCTTGCCCCCACTGTCACCTGATAATTCTTGGAAAGAAAATGAACATAGATTTTCTAACAACTGTTCTACAATCCCATGCAACAGATTATGGTTAGTCTCTCCACCTCAGCTCAGTGTCAGTGCTGGACTGTAGCATAAATAGGTTTTCTCTCCCAGTGCAGTATGAGCAGAGGGAACGTAAAGGAGAGCATAGAAGATCCTTTAGCAGTAACACTGGAACAAAGTGGGAGCACATTACTTATCCTTCAGATGTCAAATGTTAGGAGTGGGAAGGGAAGATGACTTGCAAACCCACACCCATTTCAGATTCAGTAACGTGCTGATATTCGGCAAAGAAGATTACTTCATGTTGTTTTGGGATTTGTTGCTTATGTGTACTCAGCACAGTTCCACTCACGGCTTCACATCTTTTCCACTGGTTCAGCTTATCATAGATCTTTCATCACTGTTATTGTATATATGGTTTGGGGTCTAGTTTTATAATGCCATACTTCACATATATAAATGGGGGACAACATTACCTGCTGATTAAACAACACTAGTGAAATATAGCACTGGAAAATGACATGTTCTTAAAGTTCCTGTTATAGCTCACCTACCATTGTTTTTCTAATTACATTGGCTGTACTGCTGTTGAAGGTATACCGTTGTAAAAGAACATGCAATATCATTCTTCCCTTACTCCATCAAAATGTTAGAGTTGCTCCCTGACACCGCAGCTTCTTGCTTTTCATTTTTGTTTTCTTTAGGTATTTATATTTGTGTGACAAAAAAATTAATTATTTTCATGCCATATTAATTTCTATCAAGCTGTGAACCATAAAATTGTTTTCACTTTCTATACAATTTGTAGAAGAAAATAGTTAGTTCTTATTTAATATTTTTTGATTTATAACACCCCTATATATATCCATGGTACTCCCTCACCTAGAATACTGTGTTTTAATTTTAGTTACCCTGTCTCTTAAAAATAAGATAGCAATATTTGAGGGTGTTCCGGGCAGACAATGAGAATCATTTGAGGCATGGAAAGTCTTTGTATGAAGAGAGACTGAAAGGACTAGGATTAAGACAGGAACATGAAAGATGTACACAAAATAATGAGTAGTATAGAGAGGGTAAGTCAGGAACTGCTCTTTACCCTTTTTTGTGTTACAAGAACAAAGGAACATTCAGTGAAATTGAAATGTGGCAAATTCAGAACTGATAAAAGGTGATTTATGTGTCTTACCAAACACCAAATTGGTGTGTGGCACTCGCTGCTACAAGATTCACTGAGCCAGGAGCTTAGTGGAATTCAGAAAAGGATTAGACATCTATATGGCTCAAAAAGGACATCCATAGTAATGTAAGGGAAAACTGTGCTTCTTCAGAGCATAAACCAACCACTAACTAACAGGTTTAGGAAGAAACTTCCTGTATGGGCATCTTAGTCCATAATTGTTGACCACAACATTGCTTGCACCTTCCGCTGAAGCATCTGGTACTGGCCAATGCGAGAGACATGTACTGAATTAGTCCCTGGTCTGATCCAGTATGGCAGTTCCCAAATTCCTATGTTTGTTTATTTATAGGCTTTCCTATGATGCGTATTGTAATATCTTCATTCCTCACAAGCATTAATGAATTTACCCCAAATTAGAGCCTACCTAAAATCAAACAGGAAGTCTGGCAGAGCCAAGAATATAAGCCAAATCTCCTGAATCCCAGTCAAGTACCTAAACCATAAGACCATACTTCCCACTTGAGGTAGTCTTCATAATTTTGATTATGGCTCTTCTTACAGAATTCAGCACACTTTGATAGACGCTCCATGCCTACTATGGGATATATGACCCATACTGTAAGTGCACCCAGTTTACATGGCAAGTCGGTAAGTTGAAATGCTAGAATTCTTTTTCTCTTCCCTGCCACCAAATTATTGTAGCAAGGTTTTCAAGTCCTGCTATTTTCTTAGTCATATTGTTTTTTCATGTTGTTTGAAAACCAGCTAACTCTTCTTAAACTTGAACTACGTAAGCTTAAGCGTGGACCATGTCCAGCTCTCATTAAAGTCAATGGGAATTTTGCTGTTGACTCCAGTGGGGGCAGGAGTAGGCCATGTGTAGAACTTCTTTAGTTTTGTTACTATACTACAGTTTTCTAGTAAACCCTTTTCTTTTATTGCGTTTATTTGACCAAATGCAGAATTAATTAAATAGTTGCTTAATCAGGTCAAGTAAATGCTGTCTGGGCACTGAGGTAAAGAATGTAATTACAGTGACGCTCCCTGAAGACTGCTAATATCCTCTTTACAATGTGTCTAAATACCTGCAGCCTGAAGAGCTAACATTGCTTCTCATTCGATTAAGGAGACATCAGGCTAAGTTGGCTAGTATACGAAATTACACAATCGCCCAATTACTACAGCATTTGCCAACTAATTCCATCTATCAGGTCAGCTGCTGATTGGCTCATCTGTGCTGTATGATAATTTGTGATTCTGCAAATGCTCCATTAGTGACGTGCTTGAGTCTGTGCTTCCTTGCCCATTCTTTGGTATTCTCAATCCTTGAATCATTTGTGTTTTTTCTTTGTTGTTGTACATGCTGTAAATTATAAGTATTTTAAGCTACTGGGTGCTGTTGCTTATGGTTTCAAAGCTTTAAATATCACTTCGCTTTGATATTATTTCTGAAAATGCTGCCTCTTAAAATCTTTTCAGAAAAGAGAATTAAGTATACTTTATTCATTCTGACTGAAGCAAAACAATGTCTTTGCACTGCTTTTATAATGGGAGTGGCTCACTTCACCACATGCTGCATTAACTCCAAAGTGAGATATATCAACCAGCTAGAACACTCATAGTAGCTTGTAACTGCATAATTTCTGCAGGTAAAGATTAGCTCATAAAAGTCAAATTGTCCTTTTGCGTAATTGGTAAATAACACTAGCCATCATAGTCCATAACAACACAACGGATAGCATTTATGTAAGAAGTTTTAAAATTGGAGATGGGGCAGAAATGCAGTTGTTATTAATCTCTTTATCAAGGTACTAGATTTGTAACATTCTCCAAAGGGGAGCCATCTAGTAACCTGGGCACATTTATGACCATGAAGCAAAATGTGGGGGCTCTCTTTTAAAGCTTTCAGCAATTTTTGTTTTGACCAAATTTAAGGAACTTTTCACTATTTTTTCTTTAAAACACTTATTTTCCATTTCCTTCACCTGCCAAACAGCTGCAGTGAAATAGTTTATATACTGTAGAGTATTCAGGCAATCAAGTAAGCTAATTGGTCAAACATAACTTTCTCTATTACAAAGAATATTGAACATACCAGAGCAATCTTACATTTCTTTGCGAGGATTAATTTAAGTGTGGTATATGGATTCGCTAGCACAGAGTTTTTTCAGATAACTATTTTCATTGTATCAAAACACTGAAGTCTCAAAACTTGAAACCAGAATAGTTGTCTTTTCCTCTGTTTATGCCAATAAGTCCAGAATTCAAAATAATTCCAAAAAATGTTCTGGATATTTTGCCCAGTTAACAAAGATTGTTTGCAACAGTTATGTCTTGATTTGTTGTTTGTTGAAAATATTTCTGTTGAAAGAAGAGAAATCATTTTCTGTTGTGACTCTGGTGTGCACATTTTTGGGGGTAACTTAAGTAAAGGTAATACTATCTTTGTATAATTATAAGACCAGACAGACAGCAGCTACTAACTAGACAGTGTTTCAAAAAGAAAAAAAGTATTCATTTGAACATGATCAGATGAAAAGCCAGAATGGTTCTCTAACTATATGATAATTTTTATTTAATATTATCCATGAAGCGGCTGTTCCATCTCTCCCAAACTGAGGGATGCATACAGTATTTTAAAATGTGTATGAAATTTGACCAGAAGTGTTTTGATGACTTGTTATTAAAGAAATATTTTACATTTCATATCTAAGACCAATCTTAAATAGGCAAATTTTTCTGTCAAAAAGGCATGTAATACAGGATGCTAACACCTTTTTCAATAAAATATCCTACTCTGAGTATACTAGCCATAAAAGTGTTGTTCATGCCTTCGAAAATAATTTAAGCCATAAGTATGTTTTTGTCACCCTGTACATTATGGAAGGGGGGGGGGGAATCTGTTCTCCATCATACTTTGCCTATTTCATATTCAGCCATAAACAGCAATGTGACAGTCAGGCCAATGTGCTTATTTTGTGCCACTTGTGTACCCGCTTTGTCCTTTACTTTTTATTTCTTACATATAGCTTAATACAAGTTTTCCAGTATTTGCAAATTACTTTTAAAGTAGTGGAATACTGTACATTGCATTGTTGTTCATTCTTTTTATATATTTAACTGAAGGCTGATGACACCTACATCCAGCTGAAGAAAGACTTGGAATATCTGGATCTAAAGGTAGGACATATTTATAGGAATCATATTTCCAGTATTGATCATCCCATCAGTCCTCTGTATATCTTATCCCTACTTGCATTACTCACAATCTTGTGTATCCAGACTTTAGAATGCTGAATTTTCTTTTGGTGTAACTGGAAAATCTCTAAAATTGAGAGAGTCTTACTTCACTGACTATAGGCTGAAAATGTAAACTCAGTAAATTTGTTGCAAGTTTATTTTGTTTTAGTTTAATCTGAAAACAGTGCAAGAATAATTTATTTTATCTTTTGTAAATTTAAAGAAACCAGAGTAAAATCTGATTCAGAATATTAATGTCTGTTACAGCATTATGGTAATGCTGTTATGTTTAAGACTGAGTATTCTAAGTTAACAGAATACAGAATTTCAGTGTTTATTCATTCCTATTTTTCCTTTATTTCTATTAGAAGCTGTCTCCTTTTATGATAACAGTAAGAATATTATTATTTCTAAACATATTTATAATGTAGTAGTGTTGTGATAAATTAGTTGAATATATTGCAATCTTCCTCTCACCTCCATATTATTATGTGTGGGTTTTCCTTGCCATACTTGCATTTCTGAAGATCCTAAATAATTCCTTTCTTCAAACCACTCATCCTATGAAATTTAGCATCGTGGCCCAACAGCTCACAACCAAAGATTAGGTGGAACTCCTTTCAGAATGAATTAAACTTTTCCCTAAATTATTCTGCATGGTTCACTTAAGAGTAATGCAATATTTTCCTAACCACTTTATGCCATTATTGAGCTATTAAATAGCCAGAAACTTCCTATAATTAGCCTACTGGACAATAGGGTAGGTTTGAAAAATAAGCCCATATTGCTCTCATGTTCCTACAGCTTGCATTCACAACCTTGACAATGTCACTGAGTTTTTCAGTGCTGTTAAATTCTTCTAAATTTGGTGTATTTTGTTTCAATTTTATAGTATATATTTTTGATACACTCACTCCTTTTTATTTAAACAAATTTTCCAAGTTCAGTCTATCAAAATATTACTTTGTGATTATTCTTTAGCAATAGGATCAAATTCATGTGACATTGTTTAAAGTTCAAGTTTTTCACAGCCAGTGAAATTCTGTATTAACATCTGTATCAAGCAATAGTGGCATCCAGTGGTGAGCTCAATTAATTGACATTTCTTCCCAAAGAGAGATCTCAAATTCTTATTTATATCAGGTCGCCAATATCATGTTGCATGAATTCAAGATGTTAAACAATGTTATTATCCTGAAGCTCAAACTCTCTGTCTCAGTTAAAATAGCTATCCTCCATGGTAAGCAGATTGAAAACAAAACTAGATTAATAAACTTTAGGTTTTGAAAAATCCATGAAAAGAAAACTAATAATTTTGCTCAGCACAACAGCCTGCTAGCTCTCATAGTGTGAAACTCTTCTTCTCATGCATAAATCATTATTGAAGGGACTGAGCAAGATTTTCTCTGCAATTGCATCTCCCAACTGGGAACCACCCTAGTGCTGGGCACAGGAACTGAGAGTAGAAAGACTCTCCTGTGCTCTCAGCGCCCGCAGTTGGTGTCCAAGCAGTGTGGAAGAGGAGAAGGAATCATAGAATTGTAGGACCGGAAGAGACCTCAAGAGGCCATCTAGTCCAGTCCCCTGCACTCATGGCAGGACAAGTATTATCTAAACCGGGGTCGGCAACGTTTGGCACGTGGCTCGCTAGGGTAAGCACCCTGGCAGGCCGGGCCAGTTTATTTACCTGCTGATGCGGCAGGTTTGGCCGATCGCGGCCCACACTCGCCGCGGTTCGCCGTCCCAGGCCAATGGGGGCGCGAGAAGCGGCGCGGGCGAGGGATGTGCTGGCCGCAGCTTCCCGCCACCCCCATTGGCCTGGGACGGTGAACCACAGTGAGTGGGGGCCGCGATCGGCCGAACCTGTCGCGTCAGCAAGTAAATAAACTGGCCTGGCCCGCCAGGGTGCTTACCCTGGCGAGCTGCGTGCCAAACGTTGCCGACCCCTGATCTAAACCATCCATGACAGGTGTTTGTCTAACCTGCTCTTAAAAATCTCCAGTGAATGAGATTTCACAACCTCCCTAGGCAATTTATTCCAGTGCTTAACCACCCTGACAGGAAGTTTTTCCTAATGTCAAATCTAAATCATCCTTGCTGCAATTTAAGCCCATTGCTTCTTGTCCTATCCTCAGAGGTTAACGAGAACAATTTTTCTCCCTCCTTCTTGTAGCCACCTTTTATGTACTTGAAAACTGTTATCATGTCCCCTCTCAGTCTTCTCTTCCCCAGAATAAACAAACCCAGTTTTTTCCATCTTCCCTCATAGGTCATATTTTCTAGACCTTTAATCATTTTTGTTGCTCTTCTCTGGACTTTCTCCAGTTTGTCCACATCTTTTCTGAAATGTGGCGCCCAGAACTGGACACAGTACTCCAGTTGAGGCCTAATCAGCATGGAGTAGAACGGAAGAATTACTTCCCATGTCTTGCTAACAACATCCCTGTTAATACATCCCAGAATGTGTTGCAAAAAAAGCAAACATATGTTACTCTGTTGACTCATATTTATCTTGTGTTCCACTATGACCCCCAGATCCCTTTCTGCAGTAT